ATGATTTGATGTTAAATGTAACAATTCATGCCAAACCACATATTTTTCCTTCTCAGTTGATACTGCAAAATTTTCCAAGATTTTTTCGGCTAGCAAAGCCTGTTTTCAGATTTAAGAGCCATGAAAAAACACCGAGGAAGTGCAATTTTGGAAAGCCTTCAATAAAAAGCGGCTTCAAAAAAAATTTGCGTGAGGGTGAGCAAGCAGTTATAAAATTTCTAAACAGCCAGCACTAACCTTTTCAAGACCGTAGTTTTACCTAGCTCTTTGAAAGGTAAAAGCAGATAAGCAAAATAGATAGTCAAACTTGGGTTCTTGTAGACAAGCAGAGATTCGTATTCAAAACACGAAGATGACGCCGAAAAAAAATCAAGTTGAACAGTGGCTAAAATTGAACGCAGTAGCGCTGTTCGTTCTCATACTATTTCAAGCAACAGTAACTCCACTCATAATTTCTGCGATTAGGAAAGGCAATAAATGTTACCCCATCTTTGTCTTTCGCATTTATGACAGCTCCATGCTTAATAAGCAATTTCAAAACTTCAGTATGGTCACTGGCGCATGCGGTATGCAGCGGAGTTCTCTGAAAAAGTTAGAATAACTTTTTGATTGCTAGACCTTAACTAAATACTCTAGGTTATTAATAACTCTATTAAAACTCTCGCATTGCAATGCACGAAACTCGTTTCCAATTTACTGGTTAACGCGAATACAAAATAAGCCTTTGCAGGTGAAGACCGCACAGTTTTTCCTGTTAAAATCCTGTAAAATTTTTCAAATTTTCCTGATTGATAAATTTAGCTGCATTTGTATAAAACTAAAAAAAATTTTAAAAAATGTATTTTTTGTCAAGACTAGCTTGTTAAAGTTAAAACACCTGTATTTTTACACAGTGGCTTCTCTCATGTCCGACCTTTTTGACTTTTTTTCTGCAGATTAGGGGTTAATAAGAGCTTTTACACAACGTTACTTGCAGCCAAAATGCGAGAACAAGTAAACTTTATGAGTAAGCCGCAAAAGCTTTTTTCTAAAAAGTATATTTCACGGTATTTTTCAGTATATTTTCGGTAAGATCTATTGTAGATGCATACGAGTGAATCAAAAAAAAAATTTTGTTCAGAATTTTTGTATCCCTTCTTGTGCACACGTTTTAATCAATTTTTTATCCTCAATAAAGGATCCCTGCAACGTAAAACCTCCTCTCTGCTCTTCACTTCACAAGCTTCAGATCAACTGTTTGCTGAACACGACGCATTTTCGCGCCGACAGCTTTACCAACACCACAACACTATTAAAATTATTAAAGGAAATTTAACGGTTCGATCCTACTTCACTATTATATATAATTTTGTAATTGACATTACCCAGAATTCATCTTGTGCCCGCGCATTGGCTCCATTTTGCAACAGGATCTTAACACATTCTAGATGTCCATAATAGCACGCATAAAAGATCGGAGTTCTCTGAAACTGGCCTCTTTATCAATCTAGTGGATCAGATAATCAAAGAAAAACTAACGTTAAAGAATGTAAAAAGATTCCAAATAAATTTCAAGATGATAAGATCATAATATATAATCTATTTCACAACGTATCTTTGACTTCTTGCACTATGTGGGTCTTACTTTCCAAAAAATCTATAATTAGTTTTTCATATAAAAAGTTTGTATGTCAGTCAACAGAATGAAGTTTGATTCAAAATATCAAAAAGACATATTGTCCATCATCTTTTCTCTTTTCATCGTAAGATGCAACCAAATTATTGATGGCACCTTCCTGCAATTTTCGAAGTTGCAGTCAGCTCCAAATTGTATTAAATGTTTGACAATCTTGCTGTGTCCATGGCGGCAAGCATGATGTAACGGAGACGCCTACAATATACACTACTAATTATCTTATGAAATACTGGCTGTTATGGTATTTAGTGAGTTCTTATGTCTTTTTATTTTGATAGTTAACTGATTCATCAGAAATGGGGAAATGGATCAGAAAAATTCAGACCGACAACTACTTTTGAGTCAAAAATTCGGTCAAAGCAGAGAATATAAATAAAATTCTCAAATACAAAGCCGTAGAAGCAGTCTTCAAACAAATCGGTTTTTTATTTCTTGTCAGTGCTGAACGGGCAATTAATTTAGAACTAAAAAATAAAACAATGCTTTTTTACAGCAGTGTTTTGCTACGAGCAAATAGATAAGAAAATGTAACATTATTGTTGTCGGTGACGTGGACTGCAGCTCCTTTTTGGATGAGAAGTTTGACAATTTCGGGATAACCTTCAGAACATGCACAGGATAAGGGCGTTTGCTTAATTAAAAGTAAAAACTGTAATATTTATAACATTTCAAAAGCTTATTAGCTTTGAAAAAAAGTATACACAATATATTTGAATAAAAATTAGTCCACCTTTTGAGTTTTTAAAACAGCAAAAAAATTTACGCCAGAATTATCTTTTTGGTCGATTTCCACTTCACATTCTAGTAAATGCCTGACAGCTGGCAAATGTCCATGGGAAACCGCACAGTGTAGAGGTGTCCCCTAAAAGTATTTTTAACTAATATAATTTTCAAAAGGGGTTTTAAGAGCGTTCTTTAGGGTTTAACGCTAACCCATAGAAATCTACTTCTTTTCAAAAACTTTATCACTCACCGCAATGAACAACAAAACAGTGCTGATGCTTAATAACGAATAATCAGTTTTAGCTGTGAATAATTTTTAGAAATTTTAGGACAGAAAATAAATCAAAATTACTGCTTATAATTCACTGTTTTGAAAAGTCCAAAAAAGCAAGCAACTAATAAAAGCAACTTTCCATTTTTCTTACAAATCTGTTTGAAAGGCAGATGGAAAAGCAATCAGCTTACCAGTTTTCCATTTCTAGCGTTTAAATCAGCACCACTATCTGTTAAAAATTTAATAAGCTTAAGATCTCCAAATCTGCAAGCATAGTGCAATGAAGTTTCCTGAAATAAAATAAACAGTAAATGCGATAGAGCTTTGTAATTGTGAATTAGAAACGAAAATAGTATCTGGGGACCTGAGGATACCTTTTGAACGTCTCTTGCAAGAGCAAGACGCACTCTTTCGGCTTCAGCTATAGAACTTAAAATTTTGAGCAAACAAGACGTATCACCCTTCCTGGCGTATTCTAGAAATTTCTGCTCATTGGTTGTCATATCAACATTAGCACAGACTTTGACAATTGGTTTTGTATCATTCGGCTAAAATTTGTATTATATCAATAAGTAAAAAACTAACATAGAATTGCGAGCAATACAAAATTTTTACTAAAGTTGTTATTATTAGTGTTGTAATTCGCAATAAACTAAATCAAAATGCCTTTGTTTTTTTTTTTTAAAGCATGTGCTAATCAGCAAAAATAATTAACATTTTTAAGTAAAAAAAGCGCTTTCTTGAGGAAAAGTGGTCATTTGACAATTATGGAGTAGGAATGTCAATGTGAACTATATATATA